GCATTGGCAGTAAATCAATATGGATTCGTATTGCTTTGTGATCAGTTAACGGGGTAGATATCAGTATTCAGATTGTCTTCAAGTGTACGGGAAACTAACCATAAATCTATTCTCGATTGCTTAGACCTTGACTTATTACACCAGGTAAAGGCTCTGGTATGAGGATGCTTAACTCTCCAAGCATCAATCAGATCAAATCTTTCCATCAACATTTTTAGCTTTACATTTGTATTAGTACAAGAACCAGGAGGCCATCTGTCAATCATATTATCTAATGTGATATTAAAGTCACCACCCAAGAGTATATATGCATCAGGGAATTTGGCTAACCAATGAACAATTTTCTCTTCTAACTTATCCAAAAGAACATAATTTTCTGTCTTTGAATTGTACCCATAAATATTCATGACAATGAAACTAAAATTCTGAATTTGAATAACATGACATATAAAATGTCCATTGGTATCATAGTCCGTATAAGGAAGTTTACCAACACATAAGTTTTTGAGTGTACAAACACCCGCAGACCGCTGAGAAGCATGAGAACAAAACATTTAATTTCCCCACTGGGATTTCCAAAAAGGCATATCCTCAGAGATGCTGTGAGTCTCTTGAAGAAAACAAAAATCTGTTTTATATTGTTTGGCAAATAAAAATATGGCTTTCCGTTTTAAATTGTTCCTTAGTCCCCTGGCATTGAATGAAGTTATTGATAAAGACATCAAAATAACAAGATTTGAATAAAATAATAATAATAAAAAAAAGAAGTCACTTGAACAAGTTCCTTAGAACAGAAGCTTAAAGACAGCTACTAACTGTGGTGAGAACATAGCGCTACATCAACTATGACTGCTTTGGCCATAAACGGACGAAACTTTTGGCCATCGACTCATAACATGAACATATAGTCCTGGTCAAAAAAGAAGCCAAGAACACAAGAACACACAATGTCTTTATATCAAGGACCCGATCATGGAACAATGCACAGTACAAGCGCAGCGTTGAGCTTCTTGAGTCTGTTCAGTAAAGAGCGTTTTGATTGGTGGATTAAAAGCTCACCGCGATTGGCTGAACGGAACATCCTCCAAAAAAAAATATTTATGAATTTTAACCTGCCAGGAAGGTCTCAAAAATACCACACACAAATTCAAAGCAGTCCAGGCATGTGTGATGATTTGCAAATGCAGATTCAACGATCCATAAATACATGTACCATTATTCATAAATGTGTGATGGAAATTAATTCAAGAAATTTATATATACATATTTGTGTAAACATTTTAAATTTATTTAGGTAAGATGCATTTGTGTGAGCATTTGGGGAAATATTTATGCTTTTACTTGTGTATTTATGAATTGTGTTTTGAATTTACGAATCGGATTTTGTAAATGTAAATTGTGCTGTGCATTTATGAATTTTGTTTTGTAAATGTGTTATTTTTGAGGCTGATCTGTCTCCATATTAAAGCTGCAGTCCCTCGCTGGATATTTGGAAGAGCTGAAAAAGCCACATGCAAACCAATGAATACCTTTGTAAAATATAAACATTTCTGTCTTTAATCTTTGCATATACAAATACAAGATATCTTATTTTGTGCTCCCCTCTTTCACCAAGATGTCAAAAAACAACTTGGCAAACAAGTGGTGGTTTATAGGACATGAAATAGTAAGTAAAGGAGCAGCTTAGAATTGAGTTTCTTTTATTTATTGTGTTGATCTATTATAGAGGAGCACTTATAGATGAGCAGCAGGATGTGTACTTTTTTTGCATATTGCATAAATCTGAAGAAAAATCAATAATTTAATCTGTTCATAATATTAAATATGTTGTGTTTATAATCAGAAAGTTCTTTGTTCTATTAGAGTCAAGAATGAGGCCAAACTATTTTAAGCATGATTATTTAATATAGCGAAAATGAGGCACAAAATATAAAGTTCCAAAAAAATGTTCAACGTAATTTTTAAAAAGATATACAGTGTATACATGCAGCTGTAGGCCTCTTTCTGAAGCAGCAGAAAGTACAAATATCTGCAGCATTGAACAGTGCTGGAGCAATCAAAAATATTGAAGAACAATGTTTATTATTAACCCTTTAATGGATAGTTCACCCAAAAATTCTGTCATGATTTACTCCTATAATTTTTTTCTTAATATATTTTGTGTTCCGCAGAAGAAAGTCAGTCGTGCAGGTATGAAATGATATGAGACTGAATAATTTATAACAGAATTTTCATTTTGGTCGATCTATCACTTTGGAGGATTTCTAGAATTTAAGCTAAATATCATTTATCCTTTGGACTTATACAAACACAATAATGCTGTCTGATCTAACAAAGATGTAGTTTGTTTTCTGGTTGCTACATAATGAAACAGAATGTACGTTACACAAAGAACAGATTAACAATGAAAATAAGAACTCATAACCAATGATAAGGATGAATAGTTGGACACATTTGCCTAAAGGCATCCAATGATCATACAGAATTTATACATCATTGAATTAAATTGTATGTTGAACATGCCTGAATACCTCAAGATCAATGAAAAGTTTTACATTTCATAAAAATAGATTCGGCATCAATCAGGACTCAAGACTGTACTGTCCCATTACTCATATAAAATCTTCCTGATTTTGTGGATCTTTTTCCATGTCCACATCATTGTCTTCCAAGTTAAGATTTGAAGATTTATATTCAGAGAGTAATTTCAAGATGTCGGATCTCTCACTTTTCTTGGCCTGTGTGATGATGCTTTCCAGGATGGGCTGCATGGAATAGGCATATTCCATAAGGCTCCTAGTTTTACAGTTTTCTCCTTTGTACGCGTAGCCACCGGTGTGCACGCCAATCAGATAGCCGTCTTCGTCAAAAACTGGAGAGCCAGAAGATCCGTGAAAGAAACAAGAGTTATAAATGATCTGGTTGTCATGCATTTCCCATTTCTCTGCCAAAGACTGTTGTGTCATCACGTGAATGAAATTGACATTCTCAGAGATGTGTTTATCTGCAGCCTCTTGTAGATTCTCTTTCCCAATGATGAAACAGGGGTCCATTTTCTTGACCCCTTCACCCGGATGTCCCACAATGCAGATCCCACCACGGTTAGGAGGGGGGCCATGAATGTATCGACGGAGCAATCCAGGACAGTCAGCGATTTCATCAGCGTCTTTCAGTTCAAGAAGAGCAAAGTCAAGATATGGGCCCGTGTTGATCTTTCCATGATGGTACGCTGCAAGATGTTCCTTGACCAGCACACACTTGGTCTTCTTTGCTTCCAGATCTTCATAGCCAAATACTGCTGTGAAGGTCTTTGAAAGTTTCCTGGTGAAAGGGTCAAATTCTCCAATAACATGAGCATTAGTGAGGATGAATCTGTCAAAGAGTAAGAAGCCGGTTCCTCTGGCGGATCCCTCCACTCGAATCTGACACACAGAGTCAGAGAGTCTCATGAGCTGCTTCACTTTCTTTACTTCCAAGAAACTCTGAACGCATTTATCATATTCTGCTCTAAAGAACTTTAGGATCTCGGATTTGTTCTTCAGGTTCTCTCTCTGCTTTAATGTCTCCAGTAAATCTTTAAACTGAGCACGAAGAATTGCTAGAATCTCATTGGAGTGTGGAATTATTTTAGGAGAATTAATTGAAGGATTTGTGGATTTCATTGTGTTTCTCTTCTGTGTTTCTTCTTGTTCAGTGTTGATGGGATGTTCATTAGTATCAACATTTTCTTTCAAATCAGCAGCTGAAGCTTCATTGATTTCAGTGCTGTCATCACTCAAGACACCATCTTGGCTATCTGGCTGGTTGTTGTCACTGATAACAATGATCTCAAAATGCTTTCCATCCAGATGCTCTACGGTCTTTGACATTTCATATTTTGTCTCACTCTCCAAGTTATAGAGTGCACACTGTTTCTTGAATATGGCATTGATGAATCGTCCGTCACGCCGAAGAGCAGCATTCAGTTTGTCTTCTTTGAACGCGTACACACAAACATCTTCAACCTTCTTCTTTAGCTCATTGTTTTTCATTAAGCGTTTCACTTTCTTCCCTCCTTTTGTTTTAATGTAAAAGATCACTAAGCTTTTTGATTCATTGGAGAATGAAAGCCTTCCAGTTGTTTTTTTCTTTGTAGCAACATTTCCATGATTTTTAATGAAGGATATGTCTAAGAGCTCATGTATTTCAATAAGACAGCAGGGGAAATCAGTCTTGACAGCCGCTCTAGGAGCTGCTCCTTTGCATCTCTGGATCACTATTTCTTTCTCCTTGTTGTCTTTTTTAATCTTTCTGAAAATCTTGTTTGTATTAAGAGCATCGAGCACAGTCTTGGATGTATCACACGCCACTGCATGTTTCTCATATTTGTAGCGGAAATTAAAAGTGTGGCTTTGCCCTTCAGCACTCTGTTGAATTCAGAAGAACAGTAATACACAAAAGCATTTATTTAAACACCTGAATAAAGAACTTCAGTAAAATGATTATCAAGTAATATTATAATTTATACAAATAATAACAATAATTTTCCAGATGTAATTTGTTTCCACAAGCTCTCGATTCAGTTATTTTAATTCATTTTATTTCATTTCCATTTTATTTTATTCATGAAGTGGAGCAGACTGCAGGACAAGAGATGCACTACTGGTCATTTTCAGTGAAACTGTTTTAGATTAAAAGATCAGTCTTGAGATTTTTAGAAACTTATGATCACTAATTATTGGTAAATCTTTATTTTTCATATTCAATAACCCAGCCTAAAATATGATAATAATAATAATATATAATGCATTGCAGCTGTTAAGTATCAAGCAGTGTTATTTTAGTATCAATGATATGCTATTATAGTTTTTGTTAATATTTTGAAATAGATTTTATGTAGTATTTTTAATATATTTTAATTTTAAAGTTTTAGTAATTGTTGTTTTTGTAATGTCTATAGTTTTTTAGGTTTTAGTCTTTAGTTTCATTTAGTTTTAGTTTAGTTATTTTAGTACTTCAACAAACTAAATAAAGATGAGAAATGTGAACTAAAATACATTTTTTTATATTTCATTTTATTTCAGTTAATGTTTAGTTTATTTCAAGTTATGAAAATAGTGTTTTTTTATGGATTTAGATAACGGTAATAACCCTGGTTACCAAAACACCTTATGAGGTACATTTATTCACTTACATGAGATGAGTCTCACCTTGCATTTATTTATTTATTAAAACACTATTAAAAGTCTCATACCTGCTGCAGATGACTTTTTGATTGTCCTTCTTCCACTTTCTCCTTACAGAAACGGTTTGTTCTTTCCTGAGTGAATGAATATGAAATGTTGTCAAATTGCTAATACGAGATCACCGGTGTAAATGGTTTGACCATCATATTGTAAATCATAATGAATGATGAGCAAAAAGAGCGATATGGAATTTTTCAAAAGCAGCTAATGTCTTCCTAAAACATTTTTTGTAGAGAAATTCCACACACACACACTTTTTCATGAGCACCCATAAACAATTTATTCAATGATATGTCAGTATGCAACAAACCTTTAGTGGATCACGGCCATTAGTTCCAAGCCCCTTTCCTTTTTTCTTGCTTGTATGATTTTTTCCCTAGAACAATGGCAGTAGCAACAATAAAATACTAGCCTATGTATTATTATTATCAATTAATTAAATACACTTGAATCTAATACAATTGAGGACATTTACCAAATTAGCACTGGATTTTATAATACTGCCACACATAATTAAACAAAAGTACACTCAAAGATTCTCAGTTTCTGTAACATGCACCATTTCACTCGAGATTGTTCTGATGCCCAAATGAAAATAAAATCAGGAATATCAGAGTGAGAAAAAGGTAGGTCATACTTACTATATTGCAAGTCTTCTAAAGCCATACATTAGCTTTGTGTGAGGAACTAACTGAAATGTGTTACTTACTGAAACTCTTTGAATATACATGCAAACCCAAATGCGGAGGAAAAACATTTTATCATTTTAAATTAATATTGGAATAATTACTTATATTTTGGTCTGATTCTCACGCAGACTTCAGAAGTTCTAATAAACCTTTTTGTGTTCCATGTGTGAGTATTTTTTAAATAAGTGAAAAATACTGGTTCACTTGCGCTTGCTCATTTACATGGCCTGCATGTCTTCATTGGCTGTTTTTCAGATACATGAACAATTACCTTAAAGGGGTCATATGATGCGATTTCAATTTTTCCTTTCTCTTTGGAGTGTTACAAGCTCTTGGTGCATAAAGAAGATCTGTAAAGTTGCAAAGACTAAAGTCTCAAATCCAAAGAGATATTCTTTTATAAAAGTTAAGAGTCAGCCACACCTACCTAAAACGGCTCGTTCTAACACGCCCCCACATGTCTACGTCACGATGTGGGAAGATTTGCATAACGCCGCCCAAATGTTCACGCAAAGAAAGAAGGCGTAACTTTTATTCTCACTGTAGTATTGTTGTTGCCGCCGCCGCCATGCCTGGAGCTGATCCGTGCTGGTCGCTGAGGAAATAAAACAACTTCGCGCTGTGGATCACCGGATCGGCTTTCACCGTGGACGAAGCGGAGTCCAGCCCGGGGTCGTCACATGTCCTTCCGGACGCTCCTTTGTTGAAATCGCCGGCCGCGCCATTCTCAAGCCCACCCGCCTCACTCTCCGTCCGTTCCTCACGCTAGCCCCCGACCTCTGCTCACTCTAGGCCGCCGCCGCTCACTCCAGCGTGTGTGACGCTGTTTCGTTGTGAAAGCGAAACTACTTTGTTTGGTGGCATCATCACAATATGGTGAGGGGCGTGACATTTCTGTCACACGCTTGAGGTATTCGGCCAATCACAACGCAATGGATAGCTGGCCAATCACAGCACACCTTGCTTTTCAGACCGATGAGCTTTGTAAAAATCGACACGTTTCAGAAAGGCGGGGCATAGAGGAGAAACAATAATGTACAGTATGTGGAAAATAATGTGTTTTTTTAACCTTAAACCGCATAAACACATTTCATTACACCAAATACACAAAATAATGTTCTTTTTAGCAACATCATATGACCCCTTTAAATAACTTTTTAGACTTTAATCATTATTATTTAAATATCATGACCTTACCTGAGCATTGTCAGCAGTTTGTGACGCTCTTCTATCTCCAGTGTTACTCCCAGGCTGCTTTTTCTGAAATAGAAAACAAACACGGTCTAAACAATTCAATACAATGTTCAACATAAGAAAACAGTAAATGTTAAATAGCCAAGCAAAGAAATTCAAACATTTATTTTTATAAATAAAATATATAATCCATGCTTCTTGATGTTTTGCATTTTGTCACCTCAAAGAAATTCAAAATGCTATTATTCTTCATGGCGATGATGATCAAGAGTGATGTTGGCAAGTCAGTGTTTCTGTGAAGAGGATAAATACAAATGATGAGCCCAACGATTAACGAGTTACATCTGATAAAATTATCTCAAGCACAGTATTCAGTAATTAAGCGAGCATTCGTTTATTTTCGTCCAGCAGATCCTCATTAATGAAAGCAATTTTACTGTAAAATACTATAAAAATGACTGATTTTGGAAGTGAAAAATAACGTGATTGTATAATTTACAGTGAATAACATTCCCAGAATTCCCTGCATGACACTTCACATTTGATGTTTCTTAGTTTTTTTCTTGTCAGTTGTGTACATTAGGGTTTTATCTTACATGTAATGTTGTTAAATTAATGTTTTTTGCATTATTTCAGTATCATGTGTGTTCCCATGATGGTGACACTGTGCACCTTCTTTTATATATATATATATATATATATATAAAACGCGGCAAAAATGACGCAAGTATTGAGGAAACGATGGCGAACGGAGGATTTGGTTTTCAAGCGAAATGTAAAAGTAAAGTAAAAGACCGCTTCTTAACCAGAGAAGGTGAACATGTTGGTCACCGACAGCCAATTTAGTTTGAACTCTCTTTTTGTTTTCATTTTGAAAAGTTATTTTCGTTCAAATTATCTGGTATCTTTGCTGTTTCCTGACGTTATGCTGGAGGCGCTATTTTATTTTTTCTTATTTATTTGATTCCACAGTGTTTGCTAAACTTTCTGTAATTTATTAGTTGATATATAATCAAAGTCCCTTTAAGGTAATCTATAGGCTTTGATATAATACAGCATGCTGTGTATGCCATGCCTCGTCTTATCATTTTTTATTAATAAACGTAGTCGGCCATTGTAGCCTACAGTTAATAAAATTGTGCTTTTCATTAAGACTAACAATTAATCCGTCTTTCAAGCATTTGTTTCAGTCTTTAAAAGTGAAAGGTGCATAGCTCTGTAACATTAAGCTCAACAGACAATGATCTTTTCTTGTAACACGTGACACCAAAAGATGGAGAATTCTAAAAGCGAAAGTGAAAGCGTTCCATTCACAAAATTCTAATCACAAATAATACACTTTTGTTACCATATAACTATAAACTATGATAACGGGAAAAAACTATTAATCAGCATGCATTGATTAATCCCGTGTTGTTGGCAAAAACCACCACTGGCTCTGCACCCATTTACCTAAATTCATTACTTCAGAGTTATGTGCCTCTAGAAGCTTGCGTT